CCCCCCCCGCTTCCCTGCTGCGCTCTTTTGTCCTGTGAACCTTTAAAAAGCCTATTTTTTTTTCTGCATACCTCTTAATTGGAAGGATCAGCTGGTCTCTCAACAAAATCGATCAACTTCTCCCGACAGGAGTCAGGGTAAGGGGGACACTCTGAACTCTAGAGGAAAAATTGGATTCATGATGACGACTAGATTCTACTGTTTGGGTTGGTGGAATCTGGTTGTCTACAAATTCGTGTGGAGGTGTTGAAGCTTGACAGTGCTCGGACTGAATGTGGAGCTGTGACAGGGATTTGGAGCAGCTGTATCAGGACTGTGATCTCCCTGGCAGCACTCATGAATGATGGAATAATCTTGACGAAAGCTATGAGCTCGACTTTTGGAGTAAAGGATCAATTTGGCTGTTTTGGAGTTTCCATCAGAGAATATGTACCAGCGAGACTTTAAAGGCAGAAACAACAATTCACGAGTTCTGCCTGACCCAAGCTGTGGCCTTGATGCCGGACTTATCTCAACTCCTCCTGGAATGTTTGGAAAACAACAAAGATGCTTTGACTGTTTCCTCACCCCTCCCTTCCCCAAGGCCGTGGACATGTGACAGAACCTCAACTGAGCTGAAGATGAACGTCACCTCTTATCTCGACAATGGCTGGGGGGGGGGGGGGGGGGGTCTGGACTATGCTACGACTTTGCCTTAAAAATTCAATGTTTTCACCGCCTATATGTAAATGTATAACGTGTGTTTATGTTGCTTTGTTGTGGTAGGTTTTTTTGATGCCTCAAATTGTGCCCTGTCTAGGACACGGTGTGAGAGATCTTTTTTTAATATCGTCTCTCCTCATGTTTTCTTTCCTTTTCTTATCTAAGCAAAATATTATTCTGAATAAGAATAAGAAGGCCGCGCTGATTATTTTAGCCGCAGCTTTGTGCACTCCGCCCATCTTCGGACGACTGTACGTACATATTTGCGTTGTATCTCGTGCAATGCCAATAAAGTTTATTCTGATTCTGATTCTGAAGGTCTATGCAGAGCAGCTCTGTGGGGTTCTGCAGCACCTCTTCAACCTTAGCCTGACCCAGGAGAAGATTCCAATGTTGTGGAAAACATCCTGCCTTGTTCCAGTACCAAAGAAAACTCACCCATCAATCCTCAATGACTACAGACCTGTTGCCCTGACATCCCACATCATGAAGGTCATAGAGAGACTTCTGCTGACCCACCTGACTAAACAAACAAGCACATATCAGGACCCACTGCAGTTTGCTTATCAGCGTGAACTTGGAGTTGAAGATGCCATCATACACCTGCCTCAGCAAACTCACTGTCATGTAGAAAAGGCAGACAGCACTGTGAGAGTCATGTTCTTTGATTTCTCCAGTGCATTTAACACAATCTAGCCTGATTTGCTTTGTCAGAAAATCCAGAAGACTCAGGTGGAAGCCTCAACAATCACCTGGATCAAAGA